ATAAAAATTTTATTTCCTTGTAAATTATGATAAATATTAAGAAGTAAAAAAAATTAATGAATACATAGATGTGTGTCTTACAAGATATTTTATTAACTTTTTGGAATGATGTGTTCATCACATTTTTTATTTCATTTACAGCTAATTCTAATTTTTCGGAATTTCTGGCAACAATAGTAACATGGGCTCCTAATTTAGCAGCCTCAATGGCAACAGATTTTCCAATTCCACTGGAACCGCCTGTTATCTTTTTTCATTAAAAAAAAAAAAAAACAACAACATTGCTTAATAATTATTTTGCATTCTTTTTTTTAGAAGTAAAATTAATGTATCTTACCAAAACATGTTTATTATGAAGATCTGATTTTTCTACCGATTTGAAACCTTTACTAAACCAATAAAGTAATAAAAGAATAATACCGAATCCTAAAAAATACTCGTACATATTAAAACGCCTCTAAGAAAAATTATATCATTAACATTGAAAAATGTTTAATGTCTTCAAAATTGCCTATCCGACTTTTTTAACGAATCATATTTTTTTAAATTAGTTTATATGTAATATTTCTGTAGTCGATTAATCTTACTTTTTTTTATGTTGTGGTTGCAATAAATTACAATTTAAAAAAAAAAAAAATTTAGTTCTCTTCTTGATAATTTACATTTTACGTTATGATTGATAATTTTTCTATTTTACGTTTTAAATATACAAGTTATGTCAATTCTAACCAAATCTTCTCTGAACTGAAATTCGGTAACCGTTTTAAAAGAAACTTAATAAGTCTTTATTTAAATGGCTGTTACTGTACATGAGGAATTTAATAGCGATATTAGTTTTGGAGCCAAAACTTATGATATAAAAGTTATCAATCATCTTCTTCGAGCTGTAAAAATTAAAGATGTCAGTTAATATTTGAGAAAATTTAACGTTATAAAATCAATAATTTTAATTTTACAATTATATATATTTTTTTTTATTTTCAGAATGCAGTATTTTATTGTACAAGAGAAGGCATTAAGGTCACCGTAGAAGATAGAAAATGTCTTCAAGCAAATGCATATCTAGAAGTTGCTTTGTTCGATGAATACAAAATATGTGTTAAATCAAATGTCGACTTTGTGAAATTTACTGGAAATTTGCATGTGATTTTAGACTGTCTTAGTATTTTACATAATTCAACTTCTGGTGGACTAACTGCTTTAATTATAACTTATAAAGGAGAAGGACACCCTATAAAACTTTTGTATGTTGAGAAAAAAATTTTAATTTTTTTTTTTTTTTGTGGATTAATGTTATTTTTTTAAATTTATTTTTAGGATGGAAGATAATGGAATTATTACTGACTGTCAAATTAAAACATTCAATTATGAGCCTGTGTTAAATTTTGATTTTCAATCATCAGTGTCAATTAACAAAGTAGTTTTATTTTCTGATTCTTTCAAAGAAGTATTAAATGATTTAGACACATCTAGTACTACTCTAAAGATATCTATTTCTCCTGATCCTAGTAAATTCAAATTGACAACTTTTGGTAATGGGTTCACCAGTGAAACAGATGTGCCGAGTGAATGTGAAATGGTTGATGCTTTCCATTGTTCCAACTATTGTGAACACAGGTAAATTTTTTTCTTGATTATTATTTTTTTTTTTTTTTACAAAAAAATTATCTAAAAATTTTTTTTTCTCAATAATTTTCTAGTTACAAATTATCTCATTTAAAACCAGCATTAAAACATTTGCCAGGATCATTAAAAATTTCACTACAAATAAATGAAACAGGAATTTTATGTTTACAATATATGATAGTTGATGATGGTGGTCAGAGCTGTTTTGTTGAATATTTCTGTTTGCCTGTTTTTAAACCAACAGAAAAAAGTTTGTCAATTCAAAATGATTAAGAATGCCTCAATCCAATGAATGCCATTTTTTCATTGAGTTTTCCCATTTAATAGGTAATTTAAATAATATATTTAAAACAAATTATTCTATTCAATACATCAAATTCTGATTTGTGCAATCTAATTATTTTTCAAATCAAATAATTTTATTTTTTGATATATCAGAAATAGTTAAAGAGAACAGGAAAATAAATTGTAATTGGTAACAAACTTTCAATGGGGCCACCCTATTATTAGATTTGCTATTAATTATGTTTATCGCTCTCTTACAATATTAAGTATACTATAAAATTCCGAACGCGATTAACATATT